AGAGAGAGACAGAGAGAGAGACAGAGAGAGAGACAGAGAGAGAGACAGACAGACAGAGACAGAGAGAGAGATAGAGAGAGAGAGAGATCATTAGGTTCAAATGGAAGCCAGTCTAGAGCCTGGTGAGTTGAGCATCAAGCCAAAGCTGCCCCTGGTGCTGTATCTGCCTTTACTTTCATTGGCCAGAACAGAAATTTAGAAGTTCTAAGGAGTGGGTATCTAAGATATTGGTGGTTTTTGTCTTTCCACCTAGAATAGGGATCACACTCTAAAATATTGTCTCCCCTTCCCCACTCCCGTTCTGTCCAAGAGAACAGATGGCTAAGTCCAGAGTTGTCTCTTCTTTAAAGTTGTTTACTTGCTGTTTAAATGAGCATCAAAGCTTGCTTGCTCTAAATAAAAAATAGGATCAGTCCTAATTAGCTTTTGATCTATGTGGCTCCTCATTTGCAAGAGAGAGTCAGTGAATGGCAGGGATTGATGCAGAGGTTTTTTTTTCTAAAGGACCAAGGTATGAACCTGAGTCCAAAATGCCATGTTTATTTTTCTGGCTAGGGGCTGAGCTAAATGAGAGGGAATCTTTTTTTTTTTATTAGTAAATAATTTTACAAGCCTACTAACAGCAGAGAAAGATGCAACCATGTGAATATGAACCAAGTAATTACTAAGTAATGTCTGAGCTATGAATAAGAAGGTGTGTACAAGGAGGCTTGGTAAAAATCAGGATCCTCTTCTCAGAGTCAAGTATCTCAGACAAATTCACTTCCCTCATTGTTCTCTCTGAAAGTTGATTTGGTCCCAAGTGGCAGACATAGTGAATGCATTGACTAAGGAAAGTCACACATAGAGACTGCAAAGGGAAGAGTTAGGAAAGAGGGGCACCACATACATTTCTAAGGTGACAGCTAGCTAAGGAGGAATAGTTGGCTTGCTTGGGATACTAACACCAGCTGACACACTTGGCTACATGGTTATTTTTTTTTTAAAACCTCACTTTATTCTACCCCACCCACTAGCACAGGATATTATCATATATTTCTCCTCCCTTTCATGGCTAACCTACTTGAGAAATCCCTCTACATTTTATGCCCCCAGCTCCTCTCTCTCACTCTCTTCTGATCCTTTTGCATCTGGCTTCTGACCCCTTCATTCAACTTTCTTCATCAAATTCACCAGTGATCTCTTAATTGCCAAATCTAAGGGCTCTCAGTCTTCATCCTTGACCTCTCTATTTCCTGGTTTCCTTCAAATCTCAGTTAAAGTCCCATCTTCGAAAAGAAGCCTTCGCTAGTTCTTAATCTTAGCGGCTTTCCTCTGAGATTACCAGCCCTACCCCTTGCCTGGAATGCTCGTAGCTTTCCTGGCTTTCTTCAACCCAATTCAAATCTCACCTACTCCAGGTCTTTCCCAGTCATTCCTCCCAACCCCCACTAAAATGCTGCTTCCTTCCCTACTCAGAATGCCTTATGTTTCTGTATAGAGTTTGTATATACCTAGATGTTTACTTGTTGCCTTCCCCATTAGAATGTAAGCTTCTTGAGGGGAAGAACTATGTTGTGCTTTTTATCACATATCCAGCATTTAGCACTGTGCCTGGCACACAGCAAGCACTTTTAATTAAATACTTGGCAACTTGACTTTTAGCTATTCATGTTTTTATATTTTATCACATGTTCTCAGTTAGATTATAAACTCTTTGAGGGCAATATCATTGTTTCCTTTGTATCTCCTGTAATACCTAGCACTACCTGTGTAACCTTGGACAAATCACTTACTCTCCAAGGATTTCAGGTTTTGTTTTTTGTTTTTGTTTTTTGTAAAACAAAGCATCTGGACTAGACTCTGAGGTCCCTTCTAACTACAGATCTATGACCTTATGAGCCTTGAATATAGTAGGTGCTCTATAAATTGTATTTGATTGATTTATTGATTGACCTAGCTAGCTTCTCTAAGATATGGAAGATTTTGAGATTGGGAAACAGTGCTCCTTGCACTAGCGAGGATCACCATTCTAGTTTGCTCATCATTATTTTAAACTTACAGCCAATTTTCTATTATCCACAAGTGAATTACATTTTCCCAAAGATCCACAGGGCCCCAGAACTTCTTCTCTGCTTTTCAGCAACTTGGATTTCAGCCCATCAGCCATATGAGTGAGTCAGGAGAAAATCAGAGCTAGGCTCCAAAGGAATAAAGGTCAAAGGATCTTATACCAACAGATTTTAAAATGGAAAGATCTTCAAAGGCTACCTAATCCAACTCTTTACTCTTCCAGATAAGGAAACAGGTTTTGATGGGCCAAGAGAACGTGCTCATGTAAAATTAGCTAGGATTCATTACAATTGGGACTCAAATCCAGAAGGCTTAGAATTGGAAGAGACCTCCGAGATCATCTAGTCCACCGCTTCATTTACAGATGAGGAAACTGAGGGGCAAGGAAGGGGAGTGATTTGCCCAAGATGTATCTAGGTGTATGTTTGGGTATACTATTTGAATGTGTATATAACTGTCTGTAAATGTATCCCAAAGTTTAAAAAAAAATTGACTTCAGATATATCCATTAGTGTTTCTAATCCTTGGCTTCTTACTTCATAAAACATGGATGATCAAGAATTGATTGTATTAATTCTGACAGTAAACTTGATCTGCATCCCACATTAACACTGGACCTTGCATTGTAGACACATTTTAAGTGTTCATTAAACTGAATCCTTCCATGAATGCTTCCATGAAGCATTTTGGGTTTCCTTTCAGTAAAGCAACCTATTATTTGACTGAAAAAATGAACTATAATTGATCTAAAAATAAAAATAAATCTGAAAGACAGAGTTTGGGGGCCCAATGTCATAAAAGGCCATCTGAAAATAAAATTGGTGACATTTTTTCCAATCCATACTCAACTATTTCAAAGGTTTGGAAACAGCCAAGAAACCTCAGTCTGCAGGCTGAAAAAAGTCCAAGCATAAACCCACAAAATGGAATACCACCAATGCAAGTTCACAATGTAAGCCAGGTAGTAATAAGTTGTTCTCTTCCTAATTACGCAGGGCTAGCTTTACTAAGGACATCTGAAAACCAAAGAACAGCCAAGAGGACATGGCAATTGCTATGCTCCCCTAAGTACTCTAGTGCATGCAAACAGAACTCACATGCTCTGAATCAGAGAAAAAAATGCACATTTTTTTTCCAAATGTGCAGGTGTTAGGGACGTACACACCTACCACAGTATGAAAACAAAGGCAAAGAATCCAGTTTAAAGCAAGGTTATCCTACACTTGCAGAGAGTTTCTGCATCTTTTCTGAGTGTACAAATATATTACTCCTTTTGTCATTTTCAACTCTACCCCTCCTGCAAATGGCTAGGACAGAGGCATCACAGGAATACTGACTTAACGCTGGAAGGGATCAGAGAGGTCATCTCTTCCTGTCCTTTCATGCGACAAATGAGAAATGAGTAAGGCTGTTGAGGAGAAGGGACTTCTCCTCCCAAGGTCACACATATAGTTAACAGCCAGAGATGGGATTCAAACCCAGGACTTCTGAAGTGCCAAATCCAGCGTCTCCGAAACAATTCCTTCAACCTGGATTTCTACTGCACAAACTCCCATTCCATTGAAATTAAGGATACATCTCCAGGGTAAATTAAGGAAACTTATGTTAAGGTTTTAAATACACTGAGTGAGACCAGCCAGTCTTAATAACAATCAACAACCCCCTACTTCAGTCCAAAATAATTGCTCCACCTCCTAGGGAGTAGCCAGTTGACACAGACTCCTTTCCAATGTCAGCTAGGTGGCACAGTGGCTAGAACACTGGGCATGGAATCAGGAAGACTCATCCTGCTGAGTTCAAATCCAGCCTCATATACTTTTTAGCTGTACACCCTGGCAAGTCACTTAACTCTGTTTACTTCAGTTTCCTTATCTGTAAAATAAACTGGAGAAAGAATAGCAAACTACTCCAGTGTCTTTGCCAAGAAAACTCTAATGGGGTATGAAGAGTGGGACATGACTGAAAAATGACTAAACAACAACATACAACCCTTCCCAATGTTATCAAACTATAGAGCCAAGTTGGAAGTCTGCGATTATTCCTACAGCTAACCTGAAACAAGAGCAAAGCCTATGGAGATACAACCCTATTCCCCCAACCATCCTTTTCACATCCATTTTATCCCCTACTCCTAATAGCAAAAGAAATGCACAGAAACCTTAAGCGGCTTGCTAGCTAAAGAAAAAGGAAAGCAAAGAATGAAACCAACATTGTGTTCTGATAACCAGGGCTCGATTTTCCAAGGTGACTGCAGCCACCATTTGTAACAGCCAGCAGAGTTAAAAATAAAACCACTTACCCAACAGACAACTAGGGCACAATCCCATGGTGCTGAGTCAGCATCTTCTGACAGAGGCTTTCTTACTGGTTCAGGACAGCCATGCACAGAGACCCTCTAGGCCAGGGCCAGAAACTAATTAAGCAGTATCTAAAAGAAAGAGGGGAGCGGGAACATTCATGAAAACCAAAACTATGAATCCTCGCAATAATACCGCGCTCATTCCAGAGCTTCCTGCTGCCCTATTACAATAAAAAGACTACGTATAGAGGGCTGATAATTAAGAATATGACAAATTTGAGCAGGCCATGAGATTTTCTTCACTTAATTTTCTAAAATCTATGAACATAGAACTTTTAAAGAACAGAAACTGCACACACCCCCACCAAATAAAAATAATTTATTCATTTTCCTAAAAGTTCTCTGACTTGTGAAAGTCTAGCTCTAATATCCTTTGTATTATTTTTAGAATGAATTTCTTCTGAGAGAAAGGAACATTCCACTTTAACTTCTATCAGCTTGATTAATTAAGTGATAAGGGGGATACTCTTACATAGTTCATCATTAGACAGTAGCCTGCTTTAAAATGGTTATAGTGTGCTGGGGGAAGAAACCACTGAATCTCTGGGATTGTGAAGAGAGGTACACCAGCTTATAATGAACATTACTCACCAGAGCAGTGATTCTTAAGAAGGCTACCCAAGTTCTGTTGTATCATTTTCTAGATCTCAGATTACCATGGCAGGCAAAAGAGAGAGAGAGAGAGAGAGAGAGAGAGAGAGAGAGAGAGAGAGAGAGAGAGAGAGAGAGAGAGAGAATTTTTTTCACCCTCTACAGTTTTAGGGAACAAAAGGAATCATAAAATAAATGAATTTTAGAATGGTATAAAACCAAAGAGATTAAGTCAGTCAGTTAATAAGCATTGATTAAGCACCGACTTTTTGTGCTAGGCACTGGGCTATTTTCTAGGGATACAAATATAAAAGTGACATAGTTCCTGCTTTCAAGGCTTTTTTTGAAAGATTAAAATATAAAAGTAAGACAATCTTTGCCTTCCCCTGCATTCTAGTAGGGGAAAACAATCCACAAGTATATATTAAGCACCTACAGTGTTAAGTAGCAGAGGGACACAAAAACAAAAGTAGGACAGTTCTGGCCCACAACAAGCTTTCGTTCCCCCAGGGTGATAAATCACAGATAGGAAGTAGTGGCTGAAGATAAAAGCTTTGCTATAAGCAGGGATTGAGAGTGAGGCAATAGGCAATAAATTGTTAAGCCCTTTCCAATAGCAATAGTGATATTGGTTTGACTATTGTTCCCTGAGCAAGAGATGGAAGGCTAAAGGTGGGGTGGATAGCAGAGGGTATGGCACCTGTGATGACTAGGCATTGGCAACCTGCTAGATGGCTGGTTAGGATGAAGCATGGCCTGTGGCCTGCTAGATATTCTGGACTGAAGAAAATATTGTCCCTCTCACCCTCCAATACAGGTCAGATTTGCCCCAGGGTGGGTCAGTTTAGTCCAGTGGAAAGAATACTGACTGGAGCTAGAAGATCTGGGTTTAAATCCCACCACTGATGCTGACTTTGTCCAGGTGTAACCCTGGACAAGTCACTGACCTTCCTAGGCCTTAGTTTCTTCACCTGTAAAAGGAGAAGATTGGATTAAATGCCTTTAAGGAACCTTCTAGTTACAGATTTCTGAATTTTGAGTCCCTAAACTGAGTGGGAAAAGGTCAAGAGGCATTTTACAAATGAAGATCCTGAAACCCAGGGAGGTTAACTTAAACAGCAGAGATAGGACTACAGTGCAAGTCTCCTGACTCCCAGGCCAGCTCTATTCTACTCACTCTTCACATTCTGGAAAAATTAAAGGATCAGGAAATTTCAAAAATATTCAAAGGGTCCATTATACCATCAACATCAAAAACAACAAGGAACATTTATTAGTGGTAGTCTAGCCCAACAGAAGACAGAAGGAAAAAAAAAAGGCATAACACTGGAGGTTTTCAAGTCTTGGGTAGAGAAATAAATATTCCTTTTCTGACTTCAAATCACATTTAAATGATAGTGTTTCCTATCACCATCTCTGAGATCAGTCAGTGCAGGACAGAGGATAGAGTAGGGTTAAAAAGAGAAAGAAAGGGTAGAGAGGAAAAGAGAGGAAGCAAAGGGAAAAGGTGAGGGAGATCTTCTACCCATATCTTAGATTCACTTCCCAAATACTTTATGAGAAGGAAGTTAAAAACTATCTATGCGACATGATTTCAGGGGTACTGCAAAGGCCCTAGTGGCTCTCCCCAAAATCCTCCCATCTCTACTGACAAGTGCCTGAAATTCTGGCAGACTCATGTCTTTAGTTTAAGGCCTTGAATCCTGTTACAATAAATTCCCTTAAAAGGGTTAACCTTTTAAATCCATCTCAAATATTCACTTGCAAGTGGGACCTGTGATCTCACCTATGAGAGTACTCCCTCTGATGGTGTGCTCGGACTCCAGCCCTAAGACATATCTCTCCCCAGCCCAAAGACCCTGTTTCTGGCAATAACTCATGAGTGGGCCCCAGTGAGGCAAACTCTCTCTTCCTGTTACAAGAACAAGCTAGCTTCTAATAGTTATATAGTCCTTGTACAGACAGGACTATCTTATACCATCAGAACTCTCATGTATGGATTCTCAGTTACCATATACAATCCAGAGGTTAAGTATAGAAGTCAACTCCTGATGTTTTCTTGTACAAACAGGATGGCCATGACCACTAGTTGACTTACAGACAAAGCAGACCAAAAAAACACACCCCTTAGAATCCCCTAACCCTGAGGGTTTCCAGTAGTGAATGATGCTTGCACCCAAGGTACAGAAACTGTATGTTCCTTTAAGAGCTGACAACTTCTTGATTCTGCCCCATACCACCTAGTTAGCATACTTGGCATGCCATTCACTGAACTTTTTCTATATAAGCTTTAGCAACACCCCTATTAAGTTGCAAGTTCCCTAAAGAACTTTGCCCATTCTTACTGTGTCACAATAAAGCTTTGCCACTTGATTTAAAGACTGCTTGAGTTCTCAAATTTTTTCCAGATGACTCAACTCTGTACCTTGGTATTTCAGGGTCCCTGCACCCCTAAAACGCATCACCTCCAGTAATATAAATAGCAGCCCGTCCATGTCTGCCTTTCATATGTGCCTTCTGTCCAGTCTTCATATCAATCTACCATAGTGGATCCATCCAAAGTGGAGGCCTTCCTCAAGTTTTCTTGACATTCCAAGGATATCTGTGGAGCACTCTGGCTGTCCATCAGATAACCTTCCCTCTTGCCATGTGACCAGCCTGTCTTCTTCTTCAATCATAATTTATTTGATGATAGCCTTTACACCACTTCTCCTTCATAATTCCTTGTTTTTATTGTGATACAGCTGGCTCACACCCACCATGCACATCTCTCTCTCTGTCTCTCTCTATATGTATGTATGTGTGTGTATGTATGTGTGTAGCTGACTTCAATTTCAGCAGAGACTAGTTTGCTCCATGGCAAAGATATACATCACTGGAAGATTATTAGTATTAAAAAGATGACTCTTTGTTTTAAGGAGAATATTGGTGTCATTCAAAAAATGCAATTTCCCAAAGGCAATATGATCCCTTTCCCTATTCTGTTCAATTCTGGGCCCAAATCATTATTTTCTTGTTTTGTTTTAAAGTCTGTCTGATTTATACACATTATCCTGCAGGGCAAAAGGGGAGGAAGTTGTTCCCAAAGAGCAACAATGACACACAGGAAGACCAATTATTATAGAAAAAGTCCCAGTGGGGAACAGCATGGGTATGTGGTCCCCACTGCCTCTAGCTCAATGAGCAGACTTCAGATTTAGTGGTTTAGATATGTAGCAAGATATTCACTCAGATCAAAGGCCCCAAGCCACTCAGGATTCAAACTTGTATAGAGTTTTTAAAAAGACAAAATGTAGTGAGAATAAGGGACTGACCCATCACCAGTGGTTATGCAAGTGCCTAATAAGGAATGAGGAATGAGGAGAAGGGAGCCAAGAAACTTAACTCTAACTGCTACAGCATAAAAGCAGCTGGAACAGGATATACACCAGGTGTCTGGATCCGTTAAGCCTTAGCATAAATGCATTATGGGGGTTGGGGCCAAACCAGTCGAACTGGCATACATACACACCTATATACATAGACACATATACACCTACACACCTACATACATACATATATACATACATACACACATGAGATCTACAGGTGTAAGCCAATATCAGTTATTTGCACCTAAATGTGAAACTGAGAGTTGGGGTTAGTAAGAATAGATGACCAAAAGGACAGTTCTGAAGGTAAGGAGAAAGTCAAAAGCACCAGACATCTGAAAATCCAAGAATTTGCAGAGTAGAGACATAGAAAACAAACCTCACTTAATTCACAGTCTCAGTACATGTCAGCTGGCCCTTCTCCTACCTAAAACTGGCTGTCTGGCATTGTAGTTTATTTTCAATCTCTGACCTTATCTTGCTGTGCTCACTCAATTGTTCCAGAAGACTAAAGCTTAAAACACAGGATTGGGGTCAGGGATGGGGGAGGGGGTGTGAAAACAATGAAATGAAGGATGGTACCAAAAGAAACCAAGAGAATTCAAACACACTAACATTGACAAAACTGTCCACATTTTTCCTTTCTTTAAAAAAAAAAAAACAACAAATTCTAGACCATACTTAAGAACACAAACTAAGTCAAACAAGCCATCCCGGAATCACAGAAAGCACAGAATTTCAGAACTGGAAAGGACATTAGAAGCTTTCTAGGTCCATTCTCATCTAAACAAAAATCCCATCAGTTCTTTGCTCAGTCTTTGCTTGGAGACCTCTGATAAAGCCCATTTGCCCATTCCAGCTCAGGACAGCTCAAATCAGCTTTTCTATAGCTTCTACCCACTGCCCCTAGCTCTGCCCTCAGACTAAATAAATTTAACGCCTGTTCCTTGAACAGAACAAGTTTAATCTCTATTCCTTGCCACCCACACAATCCTTCACGTCCCATCTCTGAGCCTTTGTATGAGTTATCCCCATGCCTGGAATGCACTCCCATCTCAACTCTGGCTCCTAGAACCCTTTATTACCCTCAAAACTTGGTCTGAAATA